TTGTTTGTAAACATATTACAGGATTCAATTTTTGGTCAAAACCTAAAGACAGCCATATACATTTGAGTTAACAAAGTCATTGATAAAGAGTATATAGATAACTTGCAAAGCAAAATCACAGAATTGCAATAACAACATTAGCAAAAGAAAGGGAGAATGTGCACAAGTAAATCAGAAATTAAGCAATGAAGTTAAATTTTGAGCCAGAAATCGAAACAACCAACCAGAAATAAATTGATGATGGAGAAAACAACAAACCAATTCAAATGTTGATTGTCAAAAACAAAGAAGAAAAAAAACATTAGTATGCAATAACAGGAACACTCTAAATAATAAAAACTAGTCAATAACATTTACATGAACAATAAAATATAACAGACAGAAGCTGCATGCCAATGAATCAACCATTCTTTATCGTTTTACTTTTCTGCCATAAAGTAATCCCATTGCCATTAACATTGCACTGGCAGTCTCCCTACTTAAAGTTATGAATAAGAGAGCACCACTTAAACACTAAAGTCTGAGCTGCTAACAAAACCTTTCACATACAAAGCACAAAAATCACATATCAACAACTAAACCCACAAACCTATTTATAAAAGATAAAAAAGAGACCCCATATACCGAAATTACATCCTCAAGCAATCCCACAAAAACCAACATTCTGCAACTACAATAAATCAGAACCAACATTCTGCAACCATAATAAACCCAAAACCCATTAACTAAGGACCATACCGTACGTGCATAGTTTGAAGCATGTAAACATATAGAGTATTTACTAAATGAAGCAATGGTAGTTGGAAAAGTTCTGGATTCAAATATTCTTCAAGTGAAATTGAAAAGGAAACCCAGAAATTACAAAATCAAAGAAGCGGGAAATGAAAAACTCAAACGAAGTTGATAACATTGGACAAATAAATGGGTAAACACAGAACTTACTCGTTTTTTTATTTTTTTGGAGAAAATGTGTCCCCAAAAACAAGAGGGTTTTGGGGTAAAACAAGGATCAGAGACCGGAGAAGAAGGCGGAGGAGGAGGAGGAGGAGAGGAAGGAGGGGGAGATCACGACATTGGAGTAGAATTGAAGAGCATTTGTCTAAGCTCAAAATTCACTCGCTTAAAATGTAAATTTTTCCTTCGGAAATTTGAAGTTATTTAAAGAAAAATTAAAAAATGGGCCTTTTAAAGTAAATTTTGAAAACAATTAATTTTTGAATTTCTCCCTAGTAAAATTTGAAATAAAAATTTACTTCTTAAATAAGATTTTTTTAAACTTCTCCACATACCCTCTAAATTCTTGTATTTTTATGCATTTACAAAATAAAAAATTTTGATTAATTGAGGTCTTAACTTGTGACAATGATAAATTTTTACATAAACATTTAGAATATAAGCAACGACTTATTGATTCGAATGAAAAAAGTTTAATTTTTCTTAAATAATATTTCGAATTTAAGTATTGTAAATAGAAAAATAAGTTTTGAGAGAATTTTTCTCTAATGAGATCTAATCCAACTCGATTCAAAATTAATTAAATCCAATATAATTATCGAATACCAAGAGATTAATACAAAATAATATTAATAATAACTTATAAATATATATATTTTTTAAAAGAAAAAACTCAATTCAAATTTAAATAACTAATGAGTTAAATTTCAAATTTAATAATAATAATGAGTCATTTTCAAATAGCTCCACTCATTTTAATTCGTCCTCTCTCTCTTCTTCTTCCCTCTTTTTTTTTTTTTTTTTTTTTAACTTGCTTTTGATGTAGACAATAGTTTAACGCCTTCCCTATTTTGCATGGTTTAACTAACATACGATTTTATAATAAATTTATAGCAGTAATTTGCTCTGTTTACGAATGTTTGCTGAAAATCATGCTGCAAACAAGCTCCTTCAATCGGAATTAATCGAGGCCTTTTTACGTATCTGTAGCTTAATCTTAAAGCCATTTATTTATGCAATACTGCTTTCACCGGTGCTCACAGTTTCAGGATGTCCATGACACTTAATTCATCGTATATCCAGTATTTCACTTGGAGAGTTGAGGTCACCCAGAACCCCAGTACTAACCCTGCATGATAGCGCAACGCAAGACATGGTCATGGTCTATGCCAGTTGTTTGTGGAAGAATTAGTGTACGTTACTTTCTTTTGTACAAGCAGCAATCAATCAAAGAAAGGTCTCGTTCACTACATTTTTGTCCATGGAATGGTAGAATGTATAAAGGGAACTAATGTTTTTCTCCCATATACATTGGACAGTCATTTGACATTGTCCTGTTGCTGTTACATTTGATTAAAAAAGTAACTGTACATGAGGCAAGATTACAGTAAAGAGCAGGCAAGATGAAAATTGGAAAAGAAAAGAATGAATGAACAAGATTTTATTTAAGCTTCGTTACAGGAAGGAACTTATCATTGCTTTTCAGCCATATGGTAGAGCGAGTTCTCTTAACTTGCTCTGCAAAGAGTCGATGCCTGTAATTGAGAGATTAATGTGAGTGTTAACAAAAAGCAACATATGGTAGGAACAACAAAACTCAGAAAGGCTTTGACTTTGACATCAAACCACATGAAGTAGGAACTTCTTCTAATACTATTCATACTCCAGCCTTTAAGACATGCAATCAAGGAAAGCTACAATTAGAAAGAAGAATGGGAAATTTTTACAGCATACTGACCTTTCATACTCCAGCCTCTGAGTAACTATTCCATTCAATAGCAGCTCTGAACTGTAAACTGCTGCGCCTGTATGCATAAAGAGACAGATTGTTATTTAAGAATGCATTTCATGGACTATTTAAGGAGATAATTAAGTGAATATTTCAAACCTTTTTCAAGAAAGGGCACACAAGTTGCAAAATCATCTTCACAGGATAGAACCAGCATATCATCTGGGATTTTATCATCCTTCAGGACAGATCTGCTGATTCTCTCTACTGCCTGTGGGCAGCG